AAGCAAGATCCAGTCCAGAAAAACATTCATTCAATCCTGTAGCCTATTCCCTGTGACCACCAGCTTGCTGTGAGGGAGCTGGAATCTGGATGAGTTGTTCTGGCAGTTTGTATCCTGTAACCTTCTTCCCCAGTGTCCCAGTACACATCCCTGCTGCCCCGACAACATGACCAAAAGTTCATGCCTTGCACACATGCACTACCCACAGCCCCTGATAAATGTCATGCACATGTGGGAATGTCTGTGTCTGCAACATGCTACAGGGACTACCTTCCTTTATGCTTTTTTGTTGTACATTCTCCAACCTCCTTAGGTGACTGCAGCTGTATTCTTTTTTGTAGGGTGCACATGCTCATCAGCATGCCCAACAGCCACATGTCTCAACGTTTTAGGCGAGGGAACTCACTGGCATACATGCCACAGCTCTTTTCCAGTGCATCCAAAAAAAAAACCTGAACACAGGGATGGGATGGTGTGTACTTCAATCTATCTCCATCATGGAGCTAGGCCATTGTCTGAGTTGTCTCTCCAGAGCAAAGGGCTAGGAAAGCACACCTACATTCTACAGTGTGACACAGCTCATGTGGCTCCCTGTAGCCAAAAGTTTGGTCACTATCGGTCAGTGCTTGAAAGCTCAGTATGTGCCATCTCTCAGAGTCTTGTCAGTTAAGTGAAACCCCAAAGGAACCCTGGTACAAGAAGACATGTGACCATAGGTAGGATTATGACCACTGTGGTTGCTTCAGTGACTAGTGTAGGGGGTCTGGCACATCTGTTCTTCTCACGGTCATTTTGTTGGGTCCCAAGTTTCTTGTTTCTCTAAAGAAACTATCCATTGCAGTTAGTTTTCTTCTTGAGCATGCTACCCTCTGTCCACTTCAGCATTCAACCAAGATAAGTAGGTTTGTGTTCATTAGAAATATCACTGAAATGATCAGCACAGGAGCACAGCTTAAAAAAATGGCATTTATATTGTCACCATTATGATTTAGAGTCCGTGCCTGCTACAGATGAAGAGAACTGCTCCTATTAGACTTCCCTTTGCACTTCCTCTGCAGTACCATCCACAAATGGTTTCACATCCTTCTAACATTTTGACAGTCACCATTAGCAACCCAAGAGCTAAAAACTTTTTAAATTAAGTCTTGGATTTCACTGCACAGTTCTGTGGCAGAGTCAATTCAGTGACAAATCTGCAGCCCCTGCAAAGGAGTAAAAGGAAGCTAGATTTCTTCAAACTTAGGAGTTAGAAGAAAATATGGTTTGAATAACTCTTCTAACAAAACAATCTGGGGTTTAAGCAACATAGATTCAATAGAGAGTCTTAAAATCAATGAGCAGAAAGCTTTAGTAACTTCCCCAACCACTGTTTTCTTCCTTGCATGAAAATGGCTCATTAAAAGGACACATCAAATTGCTTTCCATGTCTGAAAGCGAACACCAACACAATTGGAGAATTTGCTAAACTGTTCCATTTGAATGTGATACATAACAAGAGGGTTAGGAAGCTTCTGCATTAACACGTGGGAGATGTTAAGAGAAAAACACAAATGTCAAGTAAGAATAGGGAGGAAATTTCAATTTGCAATTATGCTTTAAATTTTTTTTAACAGACATTGCAGTTTGTAAAACAGAAAGAAGCCTAGTTTGGTAGTTCGTGCTCCCAATTTTCAATATAATTTTCATGTAAGTGTACAAAATGTTTTGTTTCATGCTTTAGGTTTGTTTAGGTTTTGTTGTGGTATTTGTGTTCTCCATCCTACACAGAGCACTCATGACATTCATCTCTCTCAGCTAGAAACAGAACCACATTTTTAGGCCACATACAGACATAAAGCGAAGCTTGATGTTTACCTTTAATGATTATAGACTGCTAAATATAGAGATTTCATAGCAAAGAAGTCCTTTAAGTGAAGTGTTGTATTAATCACAGAAAATAACTTCTACCCATCCTTCAGCAGGCAAACCCCTAATAGGGCCAAGAGTCAGAAAATTGGACTGTAAAAAGAAGAAAAAATAAAATCTGCCTTTCCCTCACAAAACCACAAAGTCCTAAAATTAGAATGGTCCTTTTTTTTGGCTGAAAAGGGAAGTTGCACCATGCTTGGATTTGGGGCATGGGCAGGAGCATAACAAGCACATCCAAGAATGCCACTGCTTGATAGTCAAATGCTATCTTGAGAATGTACGTCAAGCTGCATGCATGGTGCTTCTCCATCCTTCAAAAAACTGCCATCTAAATCATCTAGCAGTGGATCAAGCTGAGGTATCACCTTCTCAAGCCAAAAACATGTTCCTTCGTCAAGTATGCAGAAATAATATAAAACACAGCCCTATTTCTTTGAAAGAGCCACAAAGTATTCATATTGCTCCACAAATTAACAGGATGAGCATCCCCTACAGCCTTGCCCCACGAACTGTGGAAAGAGGCTTCTCCAGCCTTCTCTTGGCTACTTACCCTCCTGGTAACTTTTGTTTCAGGCTTTTGGACAGTGTAAGGGAAGTGAGCTCCCAAGGACCTAAAGACGAGATGCAATCAATGGGAAGTCCTAGAAGGGTCTCACCTCTTGAAAGCATTGAAAGAGTGCATTTATAAACATGATTTCACACTCAATTAGAAAGGTGTAAACCTTGTGAAACTCAGGGCGGTTGTTCCTTATTAATATGTCTAGCTGAAAGCAGCAGTTGAATCTATGTTTTAGCAGAAAAGGCTGTTTACTCTCATAATTAAGGAGGGTCAAACAGTTAATCTATCTATAAGAGCTGTGCCAGTCAGTTCAATAGAAGATCTCATTTTCATAAGGAGTTCAGATGGAATATTCTGCATGCTATTCTGTTCCAGAAAAGAATCTAGTAATACTGCATTAAAAAAATATGTATTGTTTGAAGCAAATACTTCATTAATTTGACCTATCTGTGATAACATTTTTAAGGGCACAACAATACCAGTGAATTTTACTACTTGCCAAGAGAGGCATGTTACTATCAGGATGCATCCTGAATGTGTTCAGCTAGTTCAGCTCAAAGGAAACAATGGAGTTTATAGACATGGTAGGCTACCATTCAAGTTGGCAAGGTTCCCATTACAAATATTCCTTGTTTTGAATATCTCTTACCATCCAAGTTCTACATGATGCATATAATTTAAGCATTCTCCTTAGTGAATCACAAATGAAGAGCAATGTCTACAAGAGAATTTCAGGGGAGGTGTGAGTAGGATCCTGTGTTAGACTGAGTGAGCACCTTCAGAGCGGGCAGTCAGAGTAGAGGCCCTAGCCAGAGGTTCTTGGTGGGAATATGATAGAAGAAAGCTTTGGATCTAGCCCAGAGAGGGCACACCACCTCTCCAGAGGTGTTTAGATGCCAGTAGGATAAAACCTCAGCTAAGTGTATATATAACTTAGAGGCCTAAATGTGTTTTTTGACATTTAAGGATAATATGGCAGATCTTGACAAGCCAAGCTTTGTCTGATTAAAGAGCATGACATAGCACCCTAAATTACCAAAAATAAAATGCATATTGTTATATATTGCTACTATATGTTTTCTACAGTTTGTATATGAGAAAGTATGATTAAAAGTCGATGAGAGACTGTTTATAAATTTTGATTGCTTCATAATTTTAACTTTGAGCAACATTTTTATCATAATTATAGGCTTTCTTAAAGCATTTATGCAGATTGTTTTATTCAAAAGGGGTTTATTCCATATAAACTCCACTCTTTTATCTCTCCATGAAATCAGTGTGTGAATTCCCAGCAACCACAACTCCATAGATAGTCATCACATTAGTAGCAGAGATATTTTCAAACAAGGCAATATTCCTCAAATATTCTGAACATTATTTCCTGCCTTCCCAGCCAGTGAGTGTCATGGTGGTAAACAGTAATGATAATCGTTAGCACATTTGTTACCTCTTTATCTCTCTTTAAAAGTATTAGCAAATTTGTAGTCAATTCTTCTGTGATGTTCCCGTGTGCTATGGTAGTCAGCATATTTATGGTTCAGTGAAGGCTCAGGGAGATTAAGCCTGATATCTCACACCTCCAGTTCAAGGAGATTTAAGTCCAGGATTTATATGCAGAGTTTATGTTCAGTGAGAATTTTGTGTCTAAATATTCTGGATCCCTACAAATGTTGAAATATAAAGGACTTACCAAGGACCCGAGGCTGGTTTTTAATTGCTATTAACATCCAGTTGATTGAACTGTTTCAATGCATGTGAACAACTTTTGGGATCTGCAGCGGGGACTGAGTCCATGGCTCCCACTTTAGATTGGCCCATGGCTATAGTGCCTATGAGGAGAGGGCTTTGGGGAAAACCATCCTCTCTCCTTCCTCCCAGTTTTCTCACAAAAGATGTCCATCCCAGCCAAAAGCCCAGGATTTCTACAATGGCAACAATTAGGACATCAGGACCCTTGGCTGAAGCTTAAGGCAACAAATTGACAGCACAGCTGGACCTAATGTAACAGAAAAGCAATTCAACCCTTGGGTGAAACCAGTGACAGTCCTGGTAAAATCACAGAAGTGAATCATCTTCACTGGAAGAGGAGCTGAAAGGTTTGAATAGTTTCATAGCAGTCACTGTATCAGCACGCTATGCCTCATTATGATCTTCTCATCCCAATGACTTGAGAAGGCACTTCTCCAGCACTGGAACATCTATAAAGTAAGCAGAACAAAATATATACCCTCTACTTGCATATACTGCTACGGCATCAAACGGAAAAGGTACTATCACCTCCCCCGGGAAATACAAATATATTATGTTAAATGTATATAAACTATGTGCAAACATTTTGCCCTCACAGTAAAAATTTGATCTTTAATACATGTGCTCAGATACTCAGAAAGAAACAGATTTGTGAAAGCTGTAACACGTTCTGGTGGGCTCATGACAGTGATGACAGTCTCTAAATGTTTCATTCTACATTCAGAAGGGTTAGTTTGCCTCAGTCTCTTCAATACCTGATGCTATGCCATGCTCCATTTTACAGCACTACCTTCAACTTCGATGATTTCCTCGAAGGACTGGATCACATCACAGTGGGATAACCTGAGCTGCACCCCATACTTTCTATTCACAAGCCATTTGAAAAACTGTTTTGCACTTCGGTCTTGGAATGTATATTCTGCACTTGAATGGTGTGGTTCAGACTTCAGACCCTATTGAAAGGGTCTAAGGCCTTAAAAAAAAAAAGCACCAAAAAAAAAGTTAAAACCAAAACTACAAAACACTAATGAAGCAATTACATTGCTATCTGCTGCTCTAAAATGAAATGAGAGAATCAACACAAACATCGTAAAAAATGAGTTCTGTGCAGAAATGCGATTAGATTTTCCCTGTTGATTTTTATAACTTGCAATCTTTATGTTACAGGACTTGTAGCTTCCCTCTGATTTCACTCTAGTATGGATTAGGCATAATTCCACCACACTCATTTCGTCAAGGAAGACAAAATTTTGGCAAACTTTGGTTTTCCTATGTACAGCACAAACACCATTTAATCCTTAAATGCTAAAATCATAATCATCTTTGTTTACATTTCCCATGTTATTTTAGTCATTTCCCAGCGCTATCATTAGAATTTGTGCTATGATATTTCCTCCTTGAAAACATGCTAATATTAACGTTCGAAGTACGGGAATAAATATAAGTTGAGTGCTTGGATTTCTTATGACACTGCAGTTGGAGAGGGTGCAACTCTGTATTTCAGAGCAATTGTAGAAAAGGCATGTTGTCACTGGACTTAATTTCAAGACGATCAAACTGCTATGTCTGAGGAAAAAAGTATTTTGCTATGTCAATTATATTCTGAATTCTGAGGTTTGGAACTGTTTCATTGCAGAATGCTGAAAAGGGGGCAGCTGTGTCTGTGAAGGAAAGCAGCAATTGTACAAGTATATTGTTAAAAAAGCAAATACATTAGAGGTAACAAAGTGTTCATTTTTAGGTGGCAAGAGGAGATTTTTAGTATCTATCAAAGATATTGATAAATATTTTTTGCAGATTTGTTGGTCAGTCAGTTGTTTGAAAATAAGGGTCGTGTTCTACCGTAGCCTTTCTTTGCAGGCAAATGGGCTGCATACAGGAATTTTTCTTGTGTGAGGGAATTGAATAAAGACAGACCACGGCTCCTCTCTAGAGCCAGGGACCGGCCACAGAGCCAGCCTCACTGTCCGTCACAGTTGCAGCTACAATTGACTTAAAACAAGTTGGAGGCAATTATTCCAAAGTAAAACCTGATTTCTTCTTCGACGATATTAACCGATGCTAGACTGTAGCTGGCCTTGTCAAGGCATGGAAAAGACCTTACCTCCGGGCTGGTGCTTGGGACCCGAAGAGTCCTCAGTACCCTCAGCCTGGAGCACTCTAGACGAAGCGCTAGGCTTTTTTTAATATAGTTTTTTAAATCTGGGATTTCTGAAGCGACAACTTTCAGGTCAGACCCGAAAGGAGAGTGTCTGCAGTACTGGCCCAAGAGTCCTGGTAATGGATGCGGGAGGCTCCGAGCCCCTTTCCGAGAGCCCAGGGCTGAGATCTGCAACCCCGGAGTTGCGGCCAAGGGCCGCTGCCCGCTGCCCACAGAGCGGGGTGACCTCCCGTCGGGCGCGGGGCTGCGAGCATCCACATCTCCCCTTGTGCTTTTTGAATACCTGGGGCAGAATTAGCCAGTCTCAGGCATTCATCGTAGTTCTGCAAAAGTAAGTGTCTACAGCCCCCGCAAAACAACAAACAAAAACCTGCGAAGAGGAAAACGCTGTAAACAAGCAGCAGAGCTTTGGGGAATTTGAGATGAGCGTGGAGAGAGTTCGGATCAAATGGGATTTAAAGTAGACAGCAGTAACTGCATGTGATCAATAATCATCCCGTGTACATTCCTCTACTCATTTGACATCAGCTAGGACCGTTCAAATATTGCAACTGAGTACTCGGCAAGGAAATCAACTGAGCGTGTATTTAAACTGTGGTTAATTATTAATATGAACAATTCTTTTCGATTAAATGTTTCATTTAATCCCCTCATATGGACTTGTCTAGGAAGCTACATGTCTAGCTTCGAAAATGATAATATGGGCGCAGACTTATTCTAGAGAATTTGATATAATCCATATAATATCATTACTGAATCATTTTCTCTTCTTGCTTCATTCTAACCATCTGAGGCAACGAACAATTTTTGGTGTAAATATTTATGACGTTTTTTAAATGTTCAAAGGAAATTTGTCAGGGAGGTCCCTCGAAGTACAGCGGAAAACCGTATCTCAGTGAAGATATGAGTCTTGGAAATGTGAGTTCAAAAGAAAAAGCAGTTCGTGTTTCAAATAGTAACTTCCGAAGAAATTAACACTGAGTAATATTTCTTCCCGCTACCGCTCAAAATCTCTCTTGCCATGTTCTGGACGGGTGCCTGCCATTCTTTTCAGCAGGTCTGGCCACCTCCTTGCACGGTCCCTCGTTCATCCTACGGAGTCTGTGGTTGTGCTCGCTGCGTCTGTGATCTTTCCTTCCCCTGCCGCCTAAATCAAATCCCTCGGGTCCCGCTTTAAAAAACAGTCCCTGAACCTCAGAACCTGTCAAACCCTTCTTTTCCTTCCCGCCTTCCTTCCCTTCTTTCCCCCTTCCTTCCCTCCTTTCCCCCTTCCTTCCCCCCCTCCTACCCCCCTTCCTTCCTTCCTTCCTTCCTTCCTTCCTTCCTTCCTTCCTTCCTTCTCTTCGGACTTGGAAGAGCAATGGTGAGTTGAATGTGCCTTGGTTTCTCAGTACACATGGCAATCAGCCCCTTTCAACAAGCCATCATATTTGTCCTTAATTTCGACTTTTCCAAGCACTGTTCTCATATTCCACTGTTTGAAATGTAGGAAGATTTAGCATAATTTGGAGGTCAGATTTCTAAATAAGCCTACTTTAAATAACAAGCCCACACGGGAGATTGTCAGTATCTCTATTTTGTATACAGTTTACACACTGGCACCGCTTTTTAAAACCCTATATGTGGGTTAAAACTCAATTTTACAACCCCCATTTATATGAGATGTAGGTTTGACATCTGTTTGCCAGAGTGTTTTGCACTTAGCCTAACACCCACTATTAAATGACAAAATTGTGGCAGGCTGTCAAAGCCAGCTGACTGACAGCTGCTCTACTTTACAAAAAAGCCCCATTCAAATATTTGCAGGGTTGAAGCTTTCTGTAACGCTGTCGCCATTCTCCCCGTTATTTAGCATGTAAAATATAAGTCAAAGTTTTAAAGCTGCTTTCCAAAATGTTGCCATTTTTCCATATAAAAAGAGCGAGCAGCGGTTGCTGGCGGGGATCCAGCGCCGAACGCATTGGGTGGGTATTTCGCTGGGTCCCCGCGTTCCTCCTATCTGCACAAACCCGATAAAACTGTCATTTAGCAGCGTTTCTTAATATTGCAGCTAATTAGAGCCGGTGTGTTATTGAAGTGAGAGCAAAAATCCACTTAAAAGAGAGCGGAGGGAGGGGGGGAAAAAAGAAGGGAGGGGAATTTTCCGTGCAGGCAGAGGTACGCACCCGGGCATGGAGCACAGCGAGACTCCCCTGGGGAAAGGGACGAGCTCTGGGGAGGGGACACCGAAGGTATCCCTGCACCCCCGCGGCGCCCTTTCCCCCCCCCCCCCCCCCCCCCCGCTTTCTGCCCCCACCTTCAGGGATCCCTCTGGGCAGCTCTGGAAGGACGTGCAAGGGAAAGCGCTAATGGAGAGCGAGCGCTGCACCTTGGCCGAGGTCTCTCCCACTTCTATTCCCACGGATGAGGATGTAACATTTAATTTAGGTCGTTAATATATATGCCCGTCCGTTCCCTTGTTCCCCCTTCAGGCGCTAATACGAGTCTGTAAAGGGCAACGATGGTTTAACTTTAAAGCAATCTGCTTTTTATTCCAACATATCTAATGATTGTATGTGACTGAGCAACTCGAAATAGCTGACGAGGTAATCCCTGCATGCTAAGGAGTCTTTGCAGAAATGGTTGGGGTGTATTTGAACCTCGGGTGCTTCCCGCAGCTTTTGCGAGACAAGAAGAGCTCTGGACGGCAAGAGAATGGGAGGTTAACGGTGGGGGTAGGAGGATGTATTTATTAATTTATTTTTTAAATGAGGACTAGATCCCTCCGCAATAAGAGAAGAAGACAGTCCGGCCACAGGAAGGCGGCTGCCCCCGGTGTTCATTCCCAGCCCTGGCGCGGCTGGTCCCCCATCAGGGTACAGGCAGCCATGACCCGCCTGGACGCTATAGCCGGCTCCACTGGCGAGGAAAACCATATCCTGTGTCCCCCTCTGCCCTCTCTCTCCACTGCACACCCCTGGCACAGACGGACAGGAAAACACCCGCACAGGCGGAGCAGAACGGAAAACGGGGCACTCTCAGCTTTACCTGAAAATCTTTAGCTGATTTGTGTCCATTTTAATAACATCTATCTACTTGCTTTCCTAGAACGGTTGTCATGTTGGCAGAAAGGGACTGGAAAAGAGTATTTCGGGGAGGGAAAAAACATGCAGGAAAAAACTAACGGCGCTGTCTAGGAAAGGGGAGGTGATCTCAGTGAGTGGTACAGGGTGGAGGAGGTGCGGACCCTCCGCAGCGATCCCGAGCGGAGAGGGGGAGGCTGACAAAGCCCGGTTCCAGCTCGGGGAAAGCGAGGGAAGGCCGAGAGAGGGGGAGCGAGAGGGGCGGAGAGGGGCTCTGAGCCTCCCTGTGAAATCCAAGTTTATTGTCAACAAAGGAGGGTCTGGCCAGGCTCGGAGCCTCCGCCGTCCCGAGCTGCCAGAGGCAGAGTACGGCGGGGGGGGCGCGGGAAAGGGGTCCCTGGGCGGCCGGGGACCGTCAGGACACAGCGAGGAGAGCAGGAGCGGGGGCTCGGGGAGACCGAGGCGAACGTGGGAAGGGACGGGCGGAAGCGCGGGGAGCCCCGCGGCGTGGCACAGGTGCGGGAAGCAGCACCCAGGGGTGGCTCTTCCCTCCCAGGAGGCATCTCCACCAGAGAAAGGGGCAAGGAAGAGTGGCCCAGCAGGAGCTGGAAGGCAGAAATGCAAGCTTAGAGGAGAAAGTGCGTGTGAGAGAGGTAAAGGGGAAGAGAAAGAGGAGGAAGGCTCCGAGCTCCACCTCCCCGCTCGGCGCGGCGCTCCAGCTGCTCTCAAACCAACTG